AATCTTGACTTTAGTAAAGCTTTAAATACTGTCTCCCATGACCTTCTCATAAACAAACTAGGAAAATACAACCTCGATGGAGCTACTATAAAGTGGTGCAAAACTGGTTGGAAAATTGTTCCCGGAGAGTAGTCAACAGTGGTTCACAGTCATACTGGAAGGGCATAATGAGTGGGGTCCTGAAGGGATCAGTTCTGGGTCCGGTTCTGTTCAATGTCTTCATCAATGATTTAGATCATGGCATAGAGAGTTCACTGATAGAGTTTGTGGATGATACCAAGCTGGGAGGGGTCACAAGTGCTTTCGAGGATAGGATTAAAATCCAAAATGAGCTGGACGGACTGGAGAAATGGTCTGAAGGAAATAGGATGAAATTCAATCAGGACAAATGCAAAGTACTGCACTTAGGAAGGAACAATCAGTTGCACACATACAAAATGGGAAATGACGGCCTAGGAAGGAGAACTGCGGAAAGGGATCAGGGGGTCATAGTGGGTCACAAGCTAAGTGTGAGTCAACAGTGTAACGCTGTTCCAAAAAAAGCAAACATAATTTTGGGCTGTATTAGCAAGAGTGTGGTAAGCAAGACACAAGAAGTAATTCTTCCGCTCTACTCCGCGCTGATTAAGCCTCAACCGGAGTGTTGTGTCCAGTTCTGGGCACCACATTTCAGGAAAGATGTGGACAAATTGGAGGAAGTCCAGAGGAAAGCAACAAAAATGATTAAACATCTAGAAAACATGACCTATGAGGGAATATTAAAAAACATGGGTGTGATGTTGCACTCCATAAGCTTTATGGAAGTATGCTTATGAATAGGACATAACTGGAATATGCTTTATGCTAAATACCCCTTGTGTGGTGTCATTAGAAAGCTTGTGATCTACTAAGTGTGTTCATCCTATTTGTTTTCATGTATTATTTCTATATCTGGAGTTGGGAGAATAAGATATAAACGTGTATCACTGATGGAAACATATTAAGTGGAGGCCATTAAGGATGCACCAGTTGTAAATGGCCCGAGCTACTTAAAAGCCTTCCTGTGTACGTGTGGGCCAGCCCATGGGGAATGGAGACTAGATGTCTTACAGTGAGGTGTGACCATGTCACCTGATACTGAAATCCATCTTAAACCTGGTACTTTTCCATTTAGAAGGAGGGGTGGGGACCAGAGAGACAACATCTTTTTCTTGAGTGGTAACAGCTAATTTAGACCCCATAATTTTATATGTAGAGTTGTGATTATGTTTTCCAATGTGGAGTCATTGTGGATAGTTCTCTGAAAACATCCACTCGATGTGCAGCGGCCGTCAAAAAAGTGAACAGAATGTTGGGAATCATTAGGAAAGGGATAGATAATAAGACAGAAAATATCATATTTCCTCTGTATAAATCCATGGTACACCCACCTCTTGAATACTGAAGTGGTCATCCCATCTCATAAAAGATATATTGGAATTGGAAAAGGTTCAGAAAAGGGCAACATAAATGATTAGGAGTATGGAACGGCTTCCGTATGAGGAGAGATTAATAAGACTGGGACTTTTCATCTTGGAAAAGTGACAACTAAGAGGGGATATGATAGAGGTCTATAAAATGTTGAAGCATGTGAAGAAAGTGAATAAGGAAGTGTTATTTACTCCTCATAACACAAGAACTGGGGGCCACCAAATGAAATTAATAGTCAGCAGGTTTAAAACAAAAAAAAGGAAGTACTTCTTCATACAACGCACAGTCAACCTGTGGAACTCCTTGCCAGAGGATGTTGTGAAGGCTAAAACTATACCAGGGTTCAAACAAGAACTCATAGACTCATAGACTTTAAGGTCAGAAGGGACCATTATGATCATCTAGTCTGACCTCCCGCATGATGCAGGCCACAAAGCCGTCCCAACCCTTTCCCTTGACTCTGCTGTTGAAGTCCCCAAATCCTGTGGTTTAGAGACTTCAAGTAGCAGAGAATCCTCCAGCTAGTGACCCCTGCCCCATGCTGTGGAGGAAGGCGAAAAACCTCCAGGGCCTCTGCCAATCTACCCTGGAGGAAAATTCCTTCCCGACCCCAAATATGGCGATCAGTAGAACTCCGAGCATGTAGGCAAGACTCTCCAGCCAGACCCTCATTAGCCATTATACTATTTACCTGCCATGGCACACTGTTCATTTGACTAAAATCATGTTATCCCATTAAACCATTCCCTCCATAAACTTATCTAGCTTAATCTTAAAACCAGACAGGTCCTTCGCCCCCACCGTTTCCCTCGAAAGGCTGTTCCAATATTTCACCCCTCTGACGGTCAGAAACCTTCGTCTAATTTCAAGCCTAAACTTCCCAACGGCCAGTTTATATCCATTCGTTCTCGTGTCCACATTAGTACTAAGCTGGAATAATTCCTCTCCCTCCCTGGTGTTTATTCCTCTAATATATTTAAAGAGAGCAATCATATCCCCCCTCAGCCTTCATTTGGATAGGCTAAACTACATAAGTTCATGGAGGACAGGTCCATCAATGGCTATTAGCCAGGACGGACAGGGCTGGTGTCCCTAGCCTCTGTTTGCCGGAGCTGGGAATGGGCGACAGGGGATGGATCACTTGATGATTCCCTGTTCTGTTCATTCCCTCTGGGGCACCTGGCACTGGCCACTGTCAGAGGACAGGACACTGGGCTCGATGGACCTTTGCTCTGACCCAGTGTGGCCATTCTTACGTTCTTATGCTCGAGCTGTGGATAGCAGTGTGGCCATGATGCGTGTCAGGACTCCCTGTGTGGAGCCCCACCGTGCCTCAGTTTCCCAGGTCCCAACGGGCTGTTGCACAGACCAAGTGATGAATGTCTGTGAGGCCCTCAGATCCTGTGGCGAGAACGCCACAGAGAGGCCCAGGAGGTGTCATTAATCATTCAGAGCAGCCCGGGCTAGGAACAGCAGGTGGGAAATACGGCCAGGGGTAATGCCCCAACGAGAAGGAAAAGACGTATTGACCGTGGCAGGGCTGCGGTGGAGAACGCACAGTGTTTGATTGTCGAATCAAAGGCTGTAGCACACTGCAAATGTGCCAGGGGATTGGATTAACCTTGTACTGGCAACGTGTGTTCTGGCATTTCCTAACTTCTCAGTGCTTGAGTGGGCAACCTCCATGGTGTGCTTGGGATGTAGATTTTTATTGTAGATTTTATATTATAAACACAGAGAGAGAGAGAGAGAGAGAGAGAGAGAGAGAGAGAGAGA